TAGATGGCCTGCAGCCACACGAGTGAGAGGATGAAGATCCACTTCACGCCCATCTGTCATGGAAAGAGCACACGAGGGGGGAGGAGGGTACAGATGGGCAGAAAGGTGTGGTGAGAGGGCGCAGATGGACGTTGAAACGCTTAGTAAACAGCATCCAGAACGGCCCTGCATAGTATATGGCCTGCAGCCACACGAGTGAAAGGACGAAGATCCACTTCACCCCCATCTGCCAGGGAAACACGCGGGGGAGAGGGCACAGATGGATAGTTGGTTGGGTGGAAACAGTTATTGTGTGAGTGCGGCTCATGCAAGGAAAGTAACAACATCCTTGACCTGCTGGGACTACGTGGCCGGTGTGCCGTCTTCGTACTCCGCATCACCTCTTGAAATGCACGCACAGTGCAAGCCACCCACTCAGCCACTCACCAGCTTGCGTTCGTCCATCTCAGGCTCAGCGGCACAGGCAAGGAAAGTGACAACGTCCTTAGCCTGCTGGGCGGGACTCAGTGGCGGGTGTACCATCCTCGTACTCCACACTGCTCCTTGCACCATGCATACACAGAGTGCAGTTTCCACACACCACACATCTCACATCTCACGATTTACCCCCTTTGAAGCCACTCACCAGCTTGCGTTCGTCCATCTCAGGCTCAGCAGCCCACGCAAGGAAGGTGACAACGTCCTTGGCCTGCTGGGACTCCGTAGCGGGCGTGCCATCCTCGTACTCCACACCGCCATCGTTGAGCATCTTGGGCATGGCAATGGCGCCGCCCGGGAAGTACGGATTGTAGTGCAGGCCTTCTCGCACCTGCGCACCCAAAGGAGGGGAGGTGATAGGGTGGACGACAGCGGGAGTAGGGATGAGGGTGGTGAGAGGGGAAGATGAGGATGCTTTTTTAGTCAACTCAAAGTTGCCAATAAGGGGAGGAAGGTGGGGGGTGGGTAGTGGGGTGGTGAATTCAATGAAAAGCGCTGAAGTCATGACAGAATGAGTGCTGTGGTAAGAATGATCGTACATGAAAACATTATGTTATCAAATGTTAGACGACTGCACTGATGTAAGTACTTCGAAAACTTCACGCTTGCATGCTCCACATCACTCCATTAGAGAATGTGCATGGAGACAACACACACGAGGCACTACGCAACCCACTCACCGAGATACCAGCAGGGGGTTCGCGGTAGCCTGTGAGAAAACTTTTTATTTTTCACGCCTTCAACAAATAAGTGTGTGGTGGGTGGAGACACACATGAGGCATCGCGCAACCCACTCACCGAGATACCAGCAGGGGGTTCGCGGTAGCCTGTGAGGAGCGCATAAATGTAGTTCTGCCCGTCATGGCGGGCCTGGTGGGGGGGCGAGGAGGGGGTGGGAGAGCATATCGTATCACTGAGCACGACTCAGTCACGGCGGCACGTGGGGTTCGCGGTAGCCTGTGAGGAGCGCATAGATGTAGTTCTGCCTGTCGTGGCGCGCCTGGAGTCAAGGGTGACACGGTGTGGCAGAGAGGGGGAGAGGAGGGGAGATACGGTGTTCGGTTTAGAGGCAACTCAAAGCTCTTCAGCTAAGGCAGGGCGTAGATGTATTCCTGCCCGTCATGGCGCGCTTGGGAATGGAAAGGGTGGGTGGGAGACCATATGGTATTACTGAGCTGAGCACGAGTCGACATGGTAGCACACATGGGGACGTGGGCATGTCAGGAGAACATGGACGCAGTTCTGCCTGTCGTGGTGCGTCTCAGTGAGGTTGACGAGAACGAGAGAGCATGAAAAGGGGGAGGGGTGGGGGGGGGGGGGGGGGGGGGGGGAAGGGCAGGACATACCTTGCTGATCAGGCTGAGATCCGGAGGGTAGGCTCCGCCATTCGCAAACCGCGCGGACGAGAAGGGGGAAGAAGAGGAGGAGGGGCAGTACCGTACCTTGCTGATCAGGCTGAGATCCGGAGGGTAGGCTCCGCCATTCGCAAACCGCGCAGCCTGCTCATTCGCGTACGGATTGGGGAGCTTATCCGAGGGCTTCCCTGGGCGCAGGAACATCTCGCCCTCGTCGTTAGGCCCGTCCTCCACCTCCACCTCGGCGGCGAGCGCCTTGACCTCGCCGTTGGGTTGGGCCTGTCTTCCATCTCTACTGGGGGCTATTGAGTCGACTCATATCGTCTCGAACACGGAGTTGAGAGCACCGTACCTTGCTGATCAGGCTGAGGTCCGGAGGGTAAGCTCCACCATTGGCGAACCGCGCAGACTGCTCATTCGCGTACGGATTCGGAAGCTTATCCGAGGGCTTCCCTGGGCGGAGGAACATCTCGCCCTCGTCGTTGGGCCCGTCCTCCACCTCGACCTCAGCGGCGAGCGCCTTGACCTCGTCCTCCGTGTACGCCACTCCGATGAGATCGCGGTACGACACCAGCGACATGCTGTGGCACGTCGCGCACACCTGCTGGTACACCTGGTGCCCGCGCCGAATGCTGTAAAGGTGGGGAGGAGGGGCGGGAGGGGGAAGGGGGGGAGGGGGAGGGTGAGGGGGAAGGGGAGAGGGGGAAGGGGAGAGGAGGAAGGGGAGAGGGGGAAGGGGAGAGGGGGAGCTTATAGATGGTATGCCGGTATTAGTATAAGGCGGGCTCAAAAGTCGTGGTTAAGAACGAGACTCCTTACGAGGCATGGTCGTAGGAGCTGAAGATGCCGTCATGGGGCCACGGGTAAGCAGGAGCGTGAAGCCCGTGCTCCGCCTCGTCAGCGCGTGCCACGTCAGCGAGAGCCGCCACGCCTAGCACCGCGCCGCCCACTGCACCCGTGGCGCGCAGCAGCTTCCACGTCAGCGAGTCGTTGGTGGTGTTCTCATTGCCGGCTGCTGACGCGGCGGCCACAGCCGGTGCGCTGGTGCTGAATGGCTGAAAGAACGGCGGGAGATATCAGGAGGACAGAACAGACTTAGGCAGAGAACGATAGGGAGTTATGGACGGAAGGGTAAACGGATCATCAGGAGAGACAGACAGCTTTTGAGTCGACTCAAAAGAAGAGGCAGAGAGCTTTGGAAGAAAACCAGAAAGTAGTTCTGGGAGGTTCGGAAGGACGTGGACGGATCTCCTCCATAGGAAGTTATGCAAGTAGCTTCCAAACAGGGTTCGCAATGCCGTTTGACGGTAACGTGCCAGCAAGATAACGCGCTGAGCCAGATAGTGGAGTCAGCGAGATATGAGCAAGGTCGACGGCTAAGAACAATCGAGCGATCGAAAGCGGATCTGGAGCTCAGCGAGATCAGCAGGGATGCGTAGATCCCAGGAAACAACGAAATGCACGTTTGTTTAATGGACTCTTTAACTGCTTGAATGCTAGAAACACGAGCTGCTTGGTACGAGAGTCTAGACGACCGAGACACACGGATCCAGGATGACTGGTAAGCTAAATCAGACGGCATGCGGCCAGTCGGCTTGTGGGAGGATCTGGATGACCGACAGATCAGGAGGCACGCGGATCCGAGCTGCAGATCCGAAACCGTGACGATCCCAATGCTGCATTTCGCAAGCTATGGAGTATAGTTGACACCGAGTGCTAATGAGTATTAGACGCGTTTTTTTTTTTTGCAGCAACGAGACAGAAAATACTATCGTCTCTGTAACGATCGTTCGTAACATAGGAAGAGTAGTCGCATGGCATCGAGTACGTGTCGGCGAGCGAAAGCTCCGCGTTGTTGCGATGTGGTTACCAAGTTACCTTGCACGCCTTCTCAGCGATCGATCCTCCCTGGCCGCGGGCCAAGGAGCGCGCGAAAACCGCTGCTCGACCCAACATACTGCGGTCCGAAAATAACTCGCACCGCGGTGACTTGGTCGACGGAGTCGCGAGAGAGATTAGGGACGGAGGAACCCCTAAAGGTGGAAAGTACGGTGTGACTATGTTAGGGCACAACACGCCTAGGGAATGGGGTGAGGGGAAAACAGGGAAGGATGATGGCGGAAGCGCAGGGGAATAGCGGGGAGCTAGTAATTGAAATGTATATCTCTCTAACACTGGAAGGAACGTGATGTTACTACGGATAGGAAATTGCTACGAGAGACTGTATATCGAGTATTTTGTGAACTGGCTCCCCCTTCGCATCCCACGCGCCACGTCTCCTCCCCCACCCTGCCAAACCTTGGGAACCACGCAGACAGGATTCGTGGAAAAGGCTGTACTTGGCTTGGGAGGTGTAATTTGTGGGTCGGCTCGGGACTGAACCACACTGAACCTCCTGTTATTGAGCGGCTACCGAACAGAGCCACGAACAGACATAGACGGTTTCAGTCAGCAAATTGGGGTGAAGCTGACGTTTCAGTTTTTGCTCGCCGAACCCACACCTGCTGGCCTTCCATGACCCATCCATCCATCACTTGCACCTCGGGCCTGGATTCGTTTGAAGGGAAGGAATTTCATTTGCATATCTTCTTTCCACACACGCATTTGCTCATCATTTTCGCTAGGTGCGTGAGCTTCTCGCACCTCACCTTTCCGCGTACCTCCTCGATCCTTTTTCATTGCCGGATCACGGTTCAGTTTTCCTCGACTTGACCTGCTCGTTGATCAAATTCCCGCTTTTCACGCACGTGATCGCGTTTATAGGTTGAGATTCCAGCTTGCAACGTAGAAGCCATAATGGCTCGGCAGGCGAAGCGAGCTAAAGTGGAGCCAAGCGCGTCGGCTGGCGAAAACGAAGACTGCGTTGAGGTGGTAACGGTCGAGACTAGCTCGGCTCGCAGGCAATCCGCAAGGCAGAGGAGACCTCCATTGAAGCTAGAATACGGATTCGCGGGTTTTAAATCATCAGGTGCAAAGCGAGAGACTTTAACAGCGAAGGACAGCAATGGAGCAGGAAATAAAGCAGTCCTAGCGACGGATCAAGAGGTAAAGCAGGAGTCTGGCGGGAAGAAGCAGGCGAATCCGGCGAAGATGAAAGGCCTTTCGGCAAAGTTGAAGGCGAAAGATACAGTTGTAACATCTTTGTCGTCTTTTCGCTGGGCGAGTGACATGGTGGACGCGGATTCGAAATCCGGCGAATCATTGTCTGAAGTCGAAGGAGTAGCATCTGACTCTGACGACAGTTGGGCTGCCACCGATCTGGAAGAGGATAACGGGGACGCTGTTAGCGAGGATGTGGAGGAGCAGGATCGCGAGTTTTCGAGAGTGAAGGAAGTTGGTGCGTTGGATGTAAACGGCACGAGTGAAGACAATGAGAGGTCATTTTGGGAGGTGCAGTTTGAGAACGATGAGGAAAATGAGGATTGTGATGACGATCCAGATCGGATGAAGCGTTGGTCTAAGAATGCGACCACGCGAGCAGGGAAGAAGAAGAGGAAGGAAGAGGAGGAAGAAGAGGAGCAAGAGCTTGCGAGCTTACCATCTGAAGAGGAGGAGGAAGAGGAGGAAGCTGATGAGGATGAGGCGCTGAGCGTTCGAGCAAAGCGGGCGTGGAGAAACATGAAGAGATGCAGCAACGGCGATGGGAAGAAATCTCAAAAGCAGCAGAAACAGCAAGATAAGAAGCGGAAACGGGCGGCAAAGGCAGCAGCGTGGGTGCGGCCAGTGCATTTAGAGGGCGAGGAGGTGGAAGAAGAGCGGATGGCGGAGTGGGAGAGGGATCTAGCAGCGTGCAACAGAGGGGAGGTGACGCCTCAGCAGCTGGTGGAGAAGAGGGAGAGGCCGCGGGAGCAGGAGCCTGCTCCTGATATTCTTATGCCGCTGCTGCCGTTTCAGAAGGAATGGCTTGCGTGGAGCCTCAAGCAGGTATGGGTGTTACCGAGCCTCATTCCAAAGCTTCTGTCACATGTTACCTGTCTATTAATGAGTTTTTGCACTGTCTACTATGCCATTGTTGATGCAATTTGTCTTGCCCATTTTTTCCATTGTATTATGTGTCTCCTTTATGTCATTGTGATGTATTCATCATTCTGTGAACGTGTTTTGACCATGTTTTTAGCGTGTACTTTTCATGTATACATCTGTCTTGATCAGGAACAAGGACCCATTAAGGGCGGCATCTTAGCGGACGAGATGGGCATGGGGAAGACCATCCAAGCCATCTCCCTTATAGTCACCAGCCGTCACCTACAGTCACACGCCCCTGCTGTCACCCCAGTGCTGCCTCAGCCACTGCCACCATCAACAGCCGCTGCTCCTGCTGATGTCGCTGCACAAGCCACGGCTGGCGGTCCAGGTTCATCCGGGGGAGGTGCATCTGAGGCAGAGAGGCGAGCAGTGAAGGCAACGCTGGTGATCTGCCCGCTTATCGCAGTGCTGCAGTGGCGGCAGGAGATTGCTCGCTTCACGCGCCCAGACAGTGTCAAGGTGGGTGACTGGGGGTTGGTTGAACCCTGCACTCAGGAAAATTGAGGGACGCTACGCACTCCTGGCCCATAACCGAACTGACTCCTTGCTCGCCTCACCATGTTCTCCATTTCCGTCCGTGTAGAAAGTGAATTTGTGAGACGTCTCAAATATTCACCCTGCACTCAGGAAGGTTGAGGATCGCTACCCACTCCTGGCCAATAACCGAACTGACTCCTTGCTCACCTTACCATGTTCTCCATTGCTGTCCCCCTCTCCCCATCTGTTTATTGTGTTGTGATGTGATGATCAAACCCTATTTCAGGTGCTGGTGTATCATGGGCCTAAGAGAGCCATTAGCGTGAAGGATTTAGAGGAGTATGACGTGGTTCTAACCACATTCTCCATTGTGGAGGCTGAAATGCGGGCAGCTGTGTTCCCCTCCAAGGTGCCCTGCCAGTGGTGCCAGAAAATGTTTTTTCCTGACCGGCTGGAGATCCACCAAAAGTATTTCTGCGGGCCAAATGCGAAGCGGACGGCCAAGCAGGCGAAGCAGCAGAAGAAGCTGCCGAGAAGCTTCAAGGGGGTAGGACAAGGGGGGAAAGGGCAAGCGGGAAAAGGGGGAAAGGGTGGGAAAGGTGGGAAGGCGAAGTGGAAGGGGGGAGATGAGAGTGACAGTGACTACGAGGAGGAGGAGGAGGAGGAGGAGGACGAGGAGAGGGGCTGGAAGGGGAAAGGGAGAAAGTTGGACCAAGGAAAGCGCAAGGAAAAAGACAAGGGCCTGGGCAAGGGCAAGGGAAAGGTAGTGGATGTGTCAGGCAAGGGCAAAGCGAAAGTGGTCGATGATGACGACGATGATGATGATGCCGACAACGATGACGCTGAAGGTGGTGGTGACGGTAATGGTGCCGGTGAGAGCAGTGGCGGTGCAACTACAGCTGGCCAGGTGGATGCATCGACTTCCAGAGGCAATCAGAAGAAGAAACCCCCAGGGAAGGCGACACCAGCGTCCGTACTGCACTTGGTGCGATGGAGGAGGATCATATTAGACGAGGCACACAGCATCAAGGACCGCCGCTGCAACACTGCCCGAGCAGTCTTTGGCCTGCGCTCCGACTTCAAGTGGGCGCTCAGCGGCACGCCCTTGCAGAACCGCGTGGGGGAGCTCTACTCGCTCATCAGGTTTCTGCAGATTGATCCTTACTCGTACTACTTCTGTCGCCACTGTGACTGCCAGTCCCTGGACCACAAGTGAGTTGGCTTTTGATGCTTCTGTTAAATGACCACAGAACCAGGTGGGGGAGCTGTACTCGCTGATCCGGTTCCTGCAGACAGACCCTCACTCGTTCTACTTTTGCCGCCACTGTGGCTGCCACTCCCTCGACCACAAGTGTGTCGTGGGCTTGTAAACGACTGTCTCTAAACCCTTTTTTCTATAGGTTCTCTGCGTACAATCGCAAGTGCGGTTAGGGTGTGGTGGTCTGCAAGCCATGATTGAGCTCAAAATCCTTTGGGCCTGTTCGTGCCTTCCCGACATTCCTTTCTGCAGGTTCTCTGCTCACAACCGCAAGTGCGACCAGTGCGGCCACTCACCCTTGGTCCATTTCTGCTGGTGGAACAAGGTGAGAGGATCCTGTTGGTTTCCTAACATGCAGGCACCGACCTTGAGTTGCCTCTGGAGTTGGAGTTTATTTCGCAGGAACCTGTTTGAGGTGTAATCAACGACTTTTTTGGAGTTTCTGAATGACATTTGAGTCTATTCATGCATGGACTCAATAATCAAAAGCTCAAGTTCACAGTCACGAGATCAGAAGGCACGGCGGCGCGCGCACAGATGCCTGCCTGGGGGTTTATTCCGCAGCCCCCTGTAGCACGATTCTTCCCCAACTACACCTGTTTGACGCCCCCAGTTCTTGGCAAACCCCACAATGATCCTGGATACGGTGGCATTGGCAGGAGGACCATACTGCTGCTGCTCAGGCACCTAGTTCTCGGCTTCATTGCCCCGCAATCTTGTTTGTCTGCTCCTCGCTACCCCCTGCTCTCTCTGCCTATCCCCTGACGCCCCCAGTTTGTGGCGAACCCAATAATGAAGCATGGGTACAGGGGCGATGGCAGGAGAACCGTGCTGCGGCTCAAGCACCGCGTGCAGCTTGGGGTATCTCATTGGCCTCCACTCTATCTCCTTCTGCTTCCCCCTCCCGCTTCCCCCCAGTTCGTGGCGAACCCAATAATGAAGCATGGGTACGGTGGGGATGGCAGGAGGGCAATGCTGCTGCTCAAGCACCGCGTGCTCGACCGCGTTCTGCTGCGCCGCACTAAGACTGAACGGGCGGCGGACCTCACTTTGCCACCCAGAACTGTGAGTGCTGATTGCGAGCTCCCTTCGGAGTGTTCTCAAAATTTGCACTGTGTGTCGCCTTCGAAAATTCTTACAGGCACATTTGTGTGTCCGACAGGTCTGCTGTTCCGTTCAACCCACTGCATCCCAAGTCTCTTTCTTCACTCCTCCCTCCATGCTTCCTTTCGCAGTCCACGCTGCGCAGAGACCGATTCGACGCGCGCGAGGAGGATTTCTATGAGGCGCTCTACACACAGAGCCAATCACAGTTCGCCACGTCAGTCCTCACTCAACCACAGCCCAGTCTGCATGATATGCTTGCAAGCTCCGTGCTGTGTGTTGCCCTGTCTGTGTCTCGACGTGTCTCACTTCCCTTCCATCCGTGATATCCATGACCTGGTGTCTGTGCTCGTCACGAGTATCCTTCACATCCTGCTGTACGTTATCTTCTGGTTACCCGTCGCTACAGCGCTGTGTTGAAAGGATTGTATAGACGTCCGTTCCTTTCAAGCACCTCCGCAAAGTGTCTTTTCTTTTTCTTTCTTCTGTTGCCTCCCCTCTTCCTCCTCTCCCTCCCAGCTACGTGGATGCATGCACAGTGCACATTACTCTACAACTACCCGCACATATATGGTCTGCGCATCTGCCTGCGCCACTTAATTTTCCCTCTTCTTCGACCCTTTCTCCCTCCCCGTCTCCACCCTCTTTCTCACACCCCCCCCCCCCCCCAGTTATGTCGACGCAGGCACATACTCAACACTTTTGCGCACATATTTGGGAATCACTTTTGAGAACTCTCAAAAGTGATACTCAACAATTTTGCGAACATATACGTCCTGCTCATCCGCCTTCTCTTCTCCCGTTTCCTCCCCTCCCCCTCTGCCTCCCTCCCCCCAGCTACGTGGACACGGGAACACTACTCAACAATTACGCGCACATATTCGACCTCCTCATCCGCCTGCGCCAGGCGGTGGACCATCCCTACCTCGTCGTTCACTCCGCCTCCCACAACACTGCTGCTGCCGCCGCCGCCGCCACCGCTTCGACTGCTGCCGCCTCTGCTGGCGCCGCTGCTGCTTCTGAGAGGGCAGGGGGAGGGGCAAACGATGGGCCAAGTGGTGGGGGAGTGGTTGGTGGGGGAGGAGAGGGGGAAAGGGAAGAGGAAAAGGAGGAGGAAACAAGAGTGTGTGGAATCTGCTGTGACTATGCAGAGGATCCCGTGGTACGTCGGTAGCTAGCGTTGAGTGGTTGCCGGGTGCCTTGCTTGCCTTATCAGGTGTGTGTTAAGTTGACTCCTAGCACATCTGTTGTGACTATGCAGAGGACCCCGTGGTATGTCGGTCAGTTCAAGTCAATGTGCACGTTCTGTTCTGCCAAAGCTGCTGCTTCACCGTGCCGTGCCCGTTTGCAACCAATGTGATCTCCCCCAAATTAGCCTCCTATCTCAAACAATGCGGCTTCCCCCCCTCCCCCCATCATCTACCTACAATGTTGCTTCCCCCCTCCCCCCATCATCTACCTACAATGTTGCTTCCCCCCTCCCCCCATCATCTACCTACAATGTTGCTTCCCCCCTCCCCCCATCATCTACCTACAATGTTGCTTCCCCCCTCCCCCCATCATCTACCTACAATGTTGCTTCCCCCCTCCCCCCATCATCTACCTACAATGTTGCTTCCCCCCTCCCCCCATCATCTACCTACAATGTTGCTTCCCCCCCTTCCCCCATCATCCACCCACGCACTCTCGTCTTCCAGTCCTCACGCTGCAAGCACACCTTCTGCCGCGGCTGCATCACAGATCTCATAGCAGCTCACAGCAGCACCAGCAGCGGCAGTGGCGGCAGCAATAACACCAGCACCAGCGCCGGGAATGGCATGAGCAGCAGCAGCAAGGGGGCGTTGGAGTGCCCTGTGTGGTCTGCCCTCCTCACTGTCGACCTCAGCTCTCCCTCTCCCGTCTATATCCGTGTGACTTTTGAGAATTGTCAAAAGTCACACGGATACTGTTGGAGTGCCCTGTGTGGTCTGCCCTCCTCACAGTCGATCTCAGCTCCCCCTCTCCCATCTCTTCTTTCTTAACCAACTTGCTCTCTTTACCCCTGTTCCCCCACCACCCACCCTCCCACGCATTCTCATGCCCGTTTCTTCTTAACTCACTGCTGCAGTCCTCGCGCTGCCTGCACACCTTCTGTCGCGGCTGCATCACAGATCTCATAGCAGCTCACAGCAGCAGCAGCAGCGGCGGTGGTGGTGGTGGCGGCAGCAGGGGGGCGTTGGAGTGCCCCGTGTGTTCCGCCCCCCTCACTGTCGACCTCAGCTCCGCCTCTTCCGCCTCTCCCCCTGAAAGCACTGCGAATGGGGGGAGAGCGGGCAGTTCACGGGGGAAGGGGAGCGGGGGATGGGGAAATGGTGGCGGTGTGGCTGGGGAAGGGGGTGTGGGGGGTGGTGGGGATGGAGGGAAGGAGAAGGGGAGAGAAGGGGGGCGGTTGGCAGGAGGGGTGGTGCGGGCGAGAGGGAGCATTTTGAGTCGGATGGACCTGTCGCGGTTCCAAAGCAGCACCAAGATTGAAGCGCTGGTGAGTCTGCGATGTGATAGGGTGTTCTCCTTCTTGCTCCACTTGCTCCGTTCGCATTCCAAGTCGGCTCGATCTGTCGCGGTTCCAAAGCAGCACCAAGATTGAAGCGCTGGTGAGGCCCGGATGGGGTACTTACTTCTTGATCCCCTTACTGGACTGCCCTCCCCCTGCTCCCCTTCCTCGTCATGCGGTTTCAAGTGGTGAACCTCCATTCTTGTTCTGCTGTCTTGCAGTTCTCCTTAGTGCTTTTGTTGTGATTGGCGTGGCATGGTATGGCATGGCGTGGCATGGTATGGCATGGCGTGGCATGGTATGGCATGGCATGGCATGGCATGTCATGGCATGGCACATCGCACTTGGCATGTCATGGCATGGCGTGGCATGGCATGGCACGTCGCACTTGGCATGGCGTGGCATGGCGTGGCATGGCGTGGCATGGTATGGCACGTCGCACTTGGCATGGCGTGGCATGGCATGGCATGATGGCAGAGGGAGGAGTTGGACGGGATGGTGCAGAGGGATCCAGGCGCCAAGGCGCTCGTGTTCAGCCAGTTCACGTCCATGCTCGACCTCATTGCATACCGCCTGCACCAGGTGCGACCTTCACCTCTCATTGCATACCACGTGCACCAGGTGGGCATCGCCTATATGTCTCATTGTACCTTTTTACTGCCTATCATACCACCTCCACCAGGTGCGACCTGCACCTCATCGCATACCCCCTGCACCACGTGTGGCTTTCACTCATTGCATACCGGGTGCATGATGTATCATGGGTGTCCGTCCAGTGACCATCCAGGGTACTCTGGTCAGCAGCGTGCATGACCATGCTCTCACGGTTCACCATGAAGAGAGGGCTATCTATGAGTCGTAACAGACTCCCCTCTTGTTGCTCCTCGCCTTCCCCCCTTTGACCCTGACCTCCTCCTTTGCTGCATGCAGGGAGTTAGTAGTGCCCTCCTCTGTTTTCCTGCGTTTCCTGATTTTATTTCCATTCATCTTCTCACTGCCTTCTTTTTCTCCCTTTTTCTGCTCCTCGCCTTCCCCCCTTCGACCCTGACCTCCTCCTTTGCTGCATGCAGGGAGTTAGTAGTGCCCTCCTCTGTTTTCCTGCGTTTCCTGATTTTATTTCCATTCATCTTCTCACTGCCTTCTTTTTCTCCCTTTTTCTGCTCCTCGCCTTCCCCCCTTCGACCCTGACCTCCTCCTTTGCTGCATGCAGGGAGTTAGTAGTGCCCTCCTCTGTTTTCCTGCGTTTCCTGATTTTATTTCCATTCATCTTCTCACTGCCTTCTTTTTCTCCCTTTTTCTGCTCCTCGCCTTCCCCCCTTCGACCCTGACCTCCTCCTTTGCTGCATGCAGGGAGTAGTAGTGCCCTCCTCTGTTTTCCTGCGTTTCCTGTCTTTCATTCCCCATTCATCTTCTCACTGCCTTCTTTCTCTCCCTTTTTCTGCTCCTCGCCTTCCCCCCGTCGCCCCTGACCTCCTCCTTTGCTTCATGCAGGTGGGAGTGCGGTGTGTGAAGCTGGATGGCAGCATGACAATGGACGCTCGGAATCGCATCATTTCCACCTTCACTCGCGATGCTGACTGCCGGGTGAGATCTTCCTCTGACACTCTCTTTTCATTCTGCTGGCATTGTGCTGGTGGTAACAATCTGTAAAAAAACAAACCCTTGAAAACAAGAGCCAAGGTAGTAATTAGTGCCCTCCTCTGTTTTCCTCCGTTTCCTGGCTTCTGTCCCCCATTCATCTTCTCACTGCTTTCTTTCTCTCCCCTTTTCACCTCACTGCACTTCCCATCCTCTCTCCCCTTCCCTCCCCTGCCATCAGGTGTTCCTCATGAGTCTTAAGGCGGGAGGAGTGGCTCTCAACCTCACCGTTGCTTCCCACGTGAGTTGCTCCATTCGTTTTTTTAAATTTTATTATCAGGGCATTTTCCTGCTAAAGGAGCAAGTAACGAGGCAAAAAAGAAAGAAGGGAAAAAGAAGTATTGAGTTTCAGGGAGAGATAAGTAGATGCGCGCCAAGCTGCCCTCTTCTCACCTTGCAGTGGACGTGTGCCAGACCTACATGTGCCGGACCTACATGCGCTACGTGTGCTACTACATGTGCCGGACCTACATGTGCCGGACCTACATGTGCTACGTGTGCCACTACATGTGCCGGACCTACATGTGCTACGTGTGCTACTACATGTGCCGGACCTACATGTGCTACGTGTGCTACTACATGTGCCGGACCTACATGTGCTACGTGTGCTACTACATGTGCCGGACCTACATGTGCTACGTGTGCTACTACATGTGCCGGACCTACATGTGCTACGTGTGCTACTACATGTGCCGGACCTACATGTGCTACGTGTGCTACTACATGTGCCGGACCTACATGTGCTACGTGTGCTACTACATGTGCCAGACCTACATGTGCTACGTGTGCTACTACATGTGCCGGACCTACATGTGCTACGTGTGCCACTACATGTGCCGGACCTACATGTGCTACGTGTGCTACTACATGTGCCAGACCTACATGTGCTACGTGTGCTACTACATGTGCCGGACCTACATGTGCTACGTGTGCTACTACATGTGCCGGACCTACATGTGCTACGTGTGCTACTACATGTGCCGGACCTACATGTGCTACGTGTGCTACTACATGTGCCGGACCTACATGTGCTACGTGTGCTACTACATGTGCCGGACCTACATGTGCTACGTGTGTGACTTCACCCATGGTGGGGCCCTGACGCTTTTCAGCTGCAGTAGGTCCCACTTTGTGAAGCCGTGCATGAGTCTTTGCCAAATCTCGCACCATGAACCCTGAAGATGAATCTCTGCTTTCCATTGCTTTGTCCACATGCTCGCAATCCCCCATCCTTGTTCTTTCTAACGCAGGTCTTTCTGATGGACCCTTGGTGGAACCCTGCTGTGGAGCAGCAAGCGCAGGACAGAATTCACAGGCTCGGGCAGTTCAAGCCTGTCAGGTAGGCTCGGCATCGGGCAATTTTTGGAAGTACACACAAGGCAATCTTATTGATGGGCCTTCCAGTGAGGTTTCGTGAGAGGCACCTGTTAAGGAGCTAGTTGGACTTGTAGGACCTTGTGAGTTGTGAGATGATTTTACACAACTTACAACAAGCTCCAGATGACATCCTTGGTATGTGAGCCTAATGTGGGAGGCGTCTCGAAAGGCTTTGTTGTCATGGTCCAGATGAACTTCATGTTTGGTGTGTTTATTCTCTCTATCCTTGCATGCCCCACCATCTTGTTATGAATTTCTCGCCCCCACCACCACGACTTAACCCCCACCCACGTACAGGGTGACGCGGTTTGTGATAGCAGGCACAATAGAGGAGCGCATTATAAAGCTGCAAGAGAAGAAGCAACTGGTGTTTGATGGGTGAGTTGGCTGCCCTGTAATTTTTTTCTGGAGAAAGTGGGCAACATGCTGTGGATCAGATGGCATACCTTAGTCAGATTGATCTTCTTTGTGGAGGGGGTCTGTCTCAAGCCATCTTCTATATTACGTGTGTCTCTCTTTCCAAACCCCTTACTGGCTAAAAACCTGGTGGACTTTCCATCAAAACATCAAGTACCGTACTTCTCAACCCCCATCCCCATCCCCCTCCCGCCTTCCCCTTTCCCTCTCCTTGTACATCCGGCGCAGCACGGTGGGAGGATCATCAGAGGCGTTGGGCCGGCTGACAGAGGACGACCTGCGCTTCCTCTTCACCAACTGAGTTGACCTTTGAGTCAACTCACAAGTCAACCAGGAACCCTTTCCATCACAGTGGGTGGATAATAAGAGGCGTTGGGGCGGCGCGGCTGACAGAGCATGATCTGCGCTGCCTCTTCACCAACTGATGCTGCTCCTCTTTTCATCCGGGCCTAGAGGTGCTTTGTACAGGAGTTTTGGGCAATAATGGTACAGTAGTTCGAGGTTCAGTATTTGGTACAGCCGGAAGCCCATGTTGGCACAGTGAACTCTCATATACATGCTTGAGCATGTCCTGCTGTCATACTATTTTCAGCACTGAGAGCCTTCTTGTGCATTCCGGTTCATGAGCTCATAGCAATGTAAGGTATCATGATTGGGGAGTAAAAAGGGACATTGCTGAATCCAAAACTTCATGCAAACACACACTAACACATGCTCCGTCCCATCCCAGGTGCCCCATTCGTTCATTGATTTCCCTCCCACCATTGATTTCCCTCCCACCATTGCTGTTTCCTAATTCGACTATGCCGCCCAGCAGTAGTGAGTCATGACTATTGTCGCGATCCATGGGGGACAAGAGGCTTAGCCGAAAGGATAATGCCGTCATTATCGGCGTAGCACCAATCTCCTGGGTGTACCATGACCCCCTGGACTTTCACAGGAACGTTTTTCTCCCCTTGCCCCTTCTTCACACTCTTTACAGGACACGTGGCAAGCCCTCGCACGTCCACGTTGCACCCGCGAATCTCGTCCACGTCACGCACGCACCCGCTGACAAAAACGCCCGCCCAGCCGTTCTTAGCCGCCTCGACAGCCAGATTGCCGCCCAGTAACGCGCAGCGCCGGCTCTCTCCACCGTCGATTATTAAAATCTGCGATTCGCCGGGCTGTTCGACCTCGGAGCGCACTAAGGTGTTATCTTCAAAGAGCTTCAAAGTGACGACTCGGCCCCACGACGCGGTTCGGCCGCCGTAAGAAACGAGGCCTGGTTCTAAAACGCGGATTTCCCCTCGCATGACCGCGTCGTGATTGTCGTCGCACAGGTCGCACGTGGCAAAACTCATCGTCGCAGAGCGAGGAGTCGAAGGGCAAACGCAGGAATCAGGAATCAAGGCCGCGTAACCTGGTAACCACGTTGAGTCTATATTCGAGTCAGGCGAGAGGCAGAGGGGACCACACGAGCTGACGACGCTTCAAGCCAAACGCGATGACGAGAACCCACTAGCACTCACTACGATGCATGCGTCGTGTTACTACCGCAATTCGCGATAAATGTAGAGCCGCGGTCACCACACGCGAGGAGGAAGGAGAGAGAGTTTCCCCGCACTCAGCTGTGAATGTGCCAGAGCAGTGCAAGCTGATGTGTCTCCTAGCTATGAATTTTGCTGCCACATTTTGAAGTTGCTTTTCAGATGAGAGAATTTCTCCAGAACCTGGATTGGTGATTCATCCTTGCTCGCGTGGCATCTAATTACTCTAGTGGCCACCAAATTTGGTGATAATTACTCGAGTGGCCACGCCAGGGGATTCCCGCTGCCTTATTTTTTTCCCGGCGCATTATCCTACAAGGGTTCGTATCCCCGAAACCTCTGTATCGATAATTGCTTGATTTTCAATCGACGCAATGATTTATAATGGATGTTTTCGGGTGATGATTTATATTCGAAATTTATGTTCGTGACTCAAAATGACCCTAAACCCTTATCTTTTAGGGTCACTGAAGGCGCTCATCGGGGTAGCGTTACAACGTGCGCAAGCCCGAGTCATCTTGCTTCGAGCGGCGTCTTCCATGGGGGGGGGATTAACATAGATTTGGTGGACCGGGAGAGGGACGATGTCGATGTGAAAGGCGGGGCTCTCTGGGTGGAGGCCCCGTATATGGTGGATACGCTGTTGTGATTTGGGGGGGAGGGGGAGAAATGGGGTTTGGGATGGGATGTCCAGATTCATGTTTATAATTGTTGTTGTTCAATCAGTGATAAAGTAGCTGCCTGATTGGACGTGCATATAGACCAATCATGCGCGGCCATTAATGGTCGGGCAAATCATATATCAATGCCCGATCATATATTTCCACGATCATAAACTGCAATGCCCGGTCGTCAATGCGCGGGATCTTTAATGACAGCGCATGATTGGTCGATTATATGAGCGGTGCTTTGTTTTGCAATGCGCGTCCAATCAGGCGCGGACATATGGGGTCACGATCATAAATTTCGGATATTGAAGATCGCGCATTAATCAGTACAGAGGTTTCGGGGTCACAAACCCTTGTAGGGTAATGCGCCGGGTAAAAAAAAACAAGCGGGAATCCCCTGGCGTGGCCACTCGAGTAATCATCACCAAATTTGGTGGCCACTCGAGTAATTCGATGTCACGCGAGCAAGGATGAATCACCAATCCAGGTTCTGGAGCAATTCTCTCTTTTCAGATCCTTGCGTGATTGGGTGTCTTTTGTTGCCAGAAAGGTGAGGATGGTAAGCGTGTGATTTCAGTGATGTGGGATGGGATGGGATGCGATGCGATGTGCTGCAATGGGACAAGCTGGATTCTCTCTATACCTCAATGCGGTATGGAAAGGGAGGAACATGAGGTGGAGCGAGGCAGCGCTGAGTTGGCTGTCGGTGGTCCCCACTCATGAGAAATCCTTGCCATAAATATCACTGATACGCGTAAAAAATTTGCGTAGGTGCAAATACCCCAGTGCTCGTTGTGTTCAGAAAGGTCTTATGCAGTTGATTGGCTTGCATTAGCATTTGAGCTGCCCAATCAGAGCCTCACTCACATTCTGACAGTTGGCGTAAAACCCCCTTCTCGCCCCTCCCCACGGGGAAGCAACCTTCGAATACTAGCGGGGTTGTTTGCGGGAAGTACACGCCACGCTTTCTCAGAAACTAACGACGCGACGCGATGATCGATTGAAGTCAACATGTGGTTGCTTTTTATGAGCTCGCACGCACAAGTGAGGAGCTCTTAGGGGCTGAGGCTAGCAGCCGCAGCATTGACATCATTCGAAGTGAACGTCCGCCCAGATTCAAGGACAAATACTCAGGTTCTAATTAGCCCCGCATTTTCTCACTTGCTCGCCTTAGCATTCGTAGCGTCCTTGCCTCGTCCGTCCGTGTCGAACAATATGGCGACTTTGATGACTCACTCTGAGATGAGTAATCTAGACGTGGACAGTCTCGCAACTATCTTCTCCTTTCTAACTCCCGCGCAGATTTGCCGCTTGGCTCACGTGTCTCGCACGTGGGCGGCAGCAGCGGCGTCTGACGTCAGCTGGGGCCGTCTCCTCCCTCCTCTATGCGCCTCGACTTGCTTTCAGAAGGCTCTCGAGGCGCATCGCGTTGCGATGTGCACAGGTGTATGCCGCCTGACGTCATGCTCTTGTGATGATGACGGCAGCAGCTCCGCTAGTAGCGGAACCAGCAGCTCCAGCAATGATGACGTCACCAGAAGCACTTTGGCCCGCAGCAGCAGCAGCAGCGGTGCCGTCAGCAGCAGTTGCAGCAGCTCCAGCAGAGAGGGTTGTAGGTGCCACGTCAGCAGCGTTACACAGCGATGGGTGTGTCAAAGGCTCTGCCAAGGGGTCTACGTGGACGATGGCCGTTTCCACGTCAGCATGGACCCATATACCGCTACCCTCACAACCTGTGTGAATGTAGCGAAGGTGCTTGAAGTGGTGGGGATGAGAACAAACGGAAATGAGAACAATGATGATGATGATGATACTGAATGGTTTCTTGAAACGGGTCGTGGGGCACCTAATAACGAAAACCTTCCCTACAATGAGGGGCACCGGTCGCGTCACAGACAGCAGAACCGCCGAAATAGGCGGAACCGGGACAGGAGAAGACAGCAACCTGCGTTTAACAGGGACGGGGAGGCCGAGGCTGCAAGAAACAACCCTGTTGGGGATTTTTCTAATCAATATGATAGTTCAAACCCTAAGCTGGGGGAATCTGGCATTCCGGGCGCGATTTTCCCCACGTCCGTCCCCCATCTGATCTCCGCCAACCGGTTTCTTATCAGGGGCGACATTGAGCTCCCCTTCTCGCTTCGGCCGGGCGCGTACGAGGCGGAGTGGCGCATTGCGCGCGACCCCGCGGAGGGGGAGCGGAAGGAGGCGGAGGAGCGGCTGGTGCGAGAAGCTGAGTGGGCGGAGAGCGCGGAGGCGGAAGCTTGGCGGGATTTGGGGTTGGGGGGAGTCAGGGGGGATGTCGTGTGCGGAAAGGGGAGGGGAAAGGGGAAGGGGCGGAAAGGAAGAAGAACGGCTAAACCCGCGGATCTGTGGGACGCTCTGCGCGCCATCAGGGGGATTGGGCGGAGGGGGGCAAGCGCGCAAAGTACAGGCGGCTGGGCCTTGGGAACCGGGGCGTCGAATGGGGGCACGAAATTGAATTCAGGGGCGACGGGTGCTGGTTTTGTGAAGGACGAGCTTGAGGAGGAGATGGATGACGTGGCAGCGAAGCTGGCGTTTTGGCGAAGCACTCAACAGCGAAGCGCTTTTAAGTGCTGGGAGGAGTGGCCACTTACGAGCGGGGCGCAGGTGGTAATCGGGGCAGCGGAGGAGCGGAGGGAGAACGAGAGGGTGGGGGAAGTCGGTGAGGAGGAAGAGGAAGATGAGGAAACGAGAAGGGAGAGAGAACTCGAATGGGAAGAGCACTTCGGGAATCCAGTGGAGAAGCGAACATTTGTGATGTGGAAGGATACGGTATCTACACTACCAAACTGGACACATCTTGAAGCGGGTGTTATGCTTATAAAGGGGGACTTTCAAAAGGACGGTGCTGTGGATGCGCGATTGCGGATGCGGCTGTGGGAGACGGAGAGCGGACGCGATATGAGCGGAATATTTATAGATTGCCTTGTTCTTAGAGAGACAGGCATACCTTGCGAGTGTTTATGGTAATTCTACAAAGGCAGATCACATGAGGCCCTGAGGCCATGTTCAGATACATTTCTTACTAGAGAAGAAACTATATCAATCAACTGATAAACACCACCACTAATCTCAGTGTTGAAAAGCGCTTTAGGAAGGAAGCTCCTCCTCTGTAGCCTCAAAAGAGGAAGGCAATTGCTCCTCAGTGCCCCCTGCACTCCTCCCTCCCATCTCCCTCCCATCCTCTCCTGCTTCATTCCCTTGCACAGCCCCTTGAGTTTCGTCTTGAGTCGCATCTTGGGTGCTCTCCTCCACTCGCGGTTCATCTTGAGTCGCATCTTGGGTACTCTCTTCCACCCGCATTTCATCTTGAGAGGCATCTTGGGTACTCTCTTCCACTTGCGTTTCATCTTGAGTCGCATCAGGAGTTCTGCCTTGCGTATCTGTGTCCACTTCTTCCCCTATCGCCTCCCACTCCTGCCCACCACCTTCCACCTCTCTACCCCCTTCTCCACCTCCAACATCGGCTCGCTCCTCCGACCCATCACCACCCCTCTCTTCCCTCCTCTTCATTCTCCTCTCCTCTTTCCCCCCGTCCACCGCTGAACCCCTCCTCTTCTTCCTCACATACTTCCTCTCGCCTCCCAGTGGCTCAGCCACCAACACGGGGCCTCCTACTGGCTGACTCAACCCTGGCCCTGAACCATCCTCCCTCCCCACCGCTGACCCTTCCTCTCCAACCTCCCCTTCCTCTTCTCCCCCTGACTCATTCACCCCTCCCTCCTCTTCCTCTCCCTCACCTTCCTCCCCAGCACTTTCTTCAGATTCCTCCTCTTCCAAACCGCCAGCAGCCCCAGCAGCACCACCAGCATCAGCGCCAACAGCATCAGGACCAACAGCACCACCAGCAGCAGCAGCAGAAGAGAAGGAGAGTTTTTTGCGCTTGACAGCAGATGCAGTCTCATCCACACCACCACCATGACGTGTCCGTCTCCTGCCCTCTCCGCTCCCTCCCACCCCCCCTCTCCCCTCGTCAACGCCCTCCCTGTGAATGTCTCTGTCTGCTTCTGCTCCACCTCCTGCCTCATCTGACACAGCACCTGAAGCATCATCTGCAGCACCAGGTGCTGCCCTGCCTGCCGGTCCATCAGCCACGCTTTCCTTAACTGTAGCTGCAGCAGATGCAGGTGGCGGTGCTGTCGCTGCTCTCTCCGTCAGAACAGACGTGAAGGCCATCAACGGCTCAGATGATGCCACGTCATCAGCCACATCTTCATCCACGGCTGACACCCTCTCCTCTAATGCATTGAGACTGACCAGGGGAAAAGGATGGGGAGGGAGGAGGCAAGGCAAGGAAGTCAGATGCTGTTGAATAGCTGGAACCAAAACCAAAACCAAACCGATACCACCCATACCACCCATACCACTCATAACACCCACACCACACCACACCACACCACACCACACCACACCACACCATGCACCACAATGCCACATTATGAGGAACCAACACTCACATGCTTCGGGCGTCATTTCCAAGAAGCTTCGCAGAAAACGGTAGAAGCGCGCATTCGAGAAACGCCAGCCGGTCGGGCAACGACTCAAAGGCGAATGCCACCCCTTCCTGCACCAGCTGCCGAATTGCCGCCCGCTGCTCGACCAATCGCTGCGCAGAGAACTGCGGGGCGGCTGCTACAGCTGCCAGCCGGGCTGCCAGGCTGGCACAGCGTCCTACAGATGCTGGGCTTGGCGAATGAGATGGTGCCACGTCATCCTCTGTGTGCGAGTGGTTGGAGATGAGTGGGAGAGTGGGAATAAAGGTCTGATGTTGGGGAAGGGGGAGGGTTAATGGAGGAGAGGGGAGGGGAGGACAGGAGAGGGCAGCCAAGGGAAATGAATTAAAGAGTGACCTGGTTAAGGAAAGTAAACGTCACTTAGAAGCAACTACACACGGACATCCAAGCACCGCCCCGCCCACTCACCATTTTCAGTGCCTGAAGGAAAATCCGCCACAGCTCAAATTTCCCTCCCTCACTTGCCGCCCGCTTCTTCCTCTGCTGCAGATGAGACAAAAACAGCCGTGCCACCCCCTCCTCCCTCTCCTCATCCTCCCCCTCCTCCCCCTCCTCACCCCCATCATCTGTCTTCTCGCCCCTCCCCACCACCACAAGCCGTGAGAGCACAGCAGGCGCCAGCAGCTCAGGGTCCACAGCACCGCACAGCACCAGCTTGGCTGCTGCCGCCACCACTCTCTCTTCCCCTCTTTCCGACACCCTCTCTTGCTGCCTCTCCTGTGTGCTCTGTCCCCTCTCTGCTGAGCAAGGGGGAAGCAGACGACTGAATGCCGCCCAGTAGGCGTTGACGCTGGCAGGTGTGACTGTAACAGAGAGTGGGTGTAGGAGCGAGTGAGCGAGCTTATGAGGCGAGAAGAGAACCCACAGGTCCGATATATGCTCCAAGACCTCTACTGCCAGCTGCTGCAGCTGCCGCCACCGCTGCTGCTGCTCTCTCTGACCCTCCCTTTCCACTCCACTGCCTCCTCCCTCTTCCTCCGCGGCTTCCTCATCGCCCTGCTCCTCCCCTCCTCCGTTCACTGCTATCCTTCCCTTCGCCCCTGCTTCCATGAGCCTCACCAGCACACCCATCAGCCGCCCCTGCCTTTCCCTCACCTCCTCCTCTTGCTCACCCACCCCTTCACTCACACCACCAACACTGAGCCCTCTTTCCCCCCCTGATTCCCTATCAGCCTCAGCACCTCCTGCAGCACCTGCTGCGTCTCTCCCTGCCGCGTCTGCCCCATCACCTGCCGTCCCCTTTTTGCCCACTGCAGTGACGAGTTTCTTAAAGCCCCACACGAGCAGCAGCACCAGCGAGCGAAGCACTGGCGATGCCAGCTGGACGGACCAATAGGGGAACGAGAGGAGGTGGCAAGAGGAGTCAGGCAGCAGCAATGCAGGGTGAGAAAATCGAGTCAGTAGGAAACAAACCGCAGCACTTCGCAGAGAAAAAAAAAGACCCCCTTGCGGACTGAAGAGCAGAGAGTGCACAGGAAGTAAGCGTATGCTGACCTGAGGGTGCTTATAAGGAGGAAATTTCTCCAGCAACCGAAGGAGCAGAGCAAACAGGTCCAGTGGTTGCATCCCATCTGCAGCAGCAGCTGAATCAGTGCCACCAGCGGCAGCAGCGGGGGCGGGGAGGAAGGGGGTAGGGTCCGCTTGCAGGAGGAAGACAGCGAGGCGAGTAGCAGCCACCGAGAGAGAAAAGGTGTCCACGTCAGCTGCAGGGGTGCCTGACGTGGCCTGGGGTGGGGTGGGTGGAGGGGGATGGCAGAGAGACGTGATGCATGAAGGTATTAGGGGGTGGAGAGTGCATGAAGTTCGTAGGGTGCATCTGCGTTCCCAACCCATCTCCAGAGTGGTGAGGAAGAGCACTGTGTGCCTTCTCCCTCAATCGCACCACCATCACACTGGCACAGCACCCTACTTGCTCCTCCACTTTCTCCCCAATGGATATTCTGAAACTCACATTATGCCTCCTCCCTCAATCGCCCCACCATCACACTGCACACGATCCCCTCACGATTTCCTCCTCCACCTGCTCCCGCATGTCCCCATGGGCGCACCACATGCACCTGGGTTTGCAACTCACCTCCACAGCAGCACGAGCGCTGTGTGCCTCCTTCCTCAATCGCCCCACGCTGCGCACAGCACCCCTCACTGCCTCCCCCTCTGCTCCCCAACGATAATTTGAGACTCACCTCAAGAGCGCTTAGTGCATCTTCCCTCACTCGCCCCACCACCACACTGCACACGAGGTGACTTTTGAGTCGACTCAAAAGTCACCTCATCTTCTCGCAATCGCCCCACCACCACATTGCACACGGCGCCCCTCACAATCTCCTCCGCTTGTTCCCGCATGTCCCCATGGGAGCGCCACATTCACCAGAGTTTCTAACTCACCTCCACAGCAGCACGAGCACTTGGTGCCTCCTTGCTCACTCGCCCCACCACCACACTGCACACGGCGCTCCTCACGCCTGCTCCCCCGCCTTTACTTTAAAACTCACCTCCAGAGCTGTGAGTGCTTCTTCCCTCACTCGCCCCACCACCACACTGCGCACGGCGCCCCTCACTGCCTCCTCCGCCTGCTCGCGCATGTCTCCCTGAGCACGCCACATGCACCGCAGTAGCACACGTGTCGCTGCCGCCATCACCGCCGTGCTGACGTGGCGCGCCAGGCTGTCACGCGCCGCCGAGAGGATCGCGAGGAGAGGCTGGTGGATGGTGGTAACCACAAAACCAGAAATTGAGAGAGAGAGAGAGAGAGAGAGAGAGAGAGAGAGAGAGAGAGAGAGAGAGAGAGAGAGAGAGAGAGAGAGAGAGAGAGAGAGAGGGAGGGTTTCTTTTTGGAACAACGGGAAACAGGTTCCTTTTACACTGCATGAAACATGCGTGCATGGGTGAGCATGGAGGCGTTGAAACATGCGTGCATGGGTGAGCATGGAAACGTTGAAACATGCGTGCATGGGTGGGTGTGGTAAGGAAGAAAAAAGGGTTTTCATCCACTCATTTCCTGCTGCGGTCCTCTGCCAATAAAACACCTTTGAGAACCACAGCAAAAGCCGGCTGCAGTCCCCTGCCACCAGAGCACCTGACACCAACTTAAGTGACTTTTGAGTCGACTCAAAAGTCACCTTAAGCTGACACACGTAGAGTCCAGCCTTCCCCACTCCACTCACCCCCCCCAGCTGCTGCTGGTCTGCAAGGTTCCCCACCTCCAGACGCGTCAACTTGCGTCCAGACGCGTACAGATACGTGTGGGCAAGGAGTCACACCAACAGACTTGACAAAAAGCCATCCCTCCCCACTCACCTCCTGCTGCTGCCTGTGCGCCAGCGCACCCACGTCCAGACACTCTGCTGCTTCCACTCCCACATTACAACTGGACATGCAACCCGATTAATCTAACAAACTGCAATCATCTCCCCACCCACCTCCTGCTGCTGCCTATGCGCCAGCGACCCCACGTCAAGACACTCTGCTGTTTCCAGCAGCCGCAGCAGCACGCGCTCATCCGCCACGTGGCGCCTCATCATTGGCGGAAGCACCTTCACGAGCGCCCCTGTCATCTCCGCCACCACTGCTGCTTGCCGATCCTGGTCCATCCACAAGAGGGACGGGAGGAAAGAGAGGGGGGGGGGGAGGAGGAGGTTTGGGGGAGGGTTGGGTGTGAGTGTGGGCGTGTGTTACCAACTCGCACCTTCAGCAGCGCCCCTGTCATCTCCGTCACCCCTTCTACCTGGCGCTCCTGGGTGGGTCCACAAGGGGTGGGTGGGGGGAAAGGGGGTTCGGGGGGTGCGGAGGCGGGGGCGTGAGTGTGGGTAATGGGTATGTGTCACCGCCTCACCTTCAGCAGCGCCCCTGTCATCTCCATCACCGCTGCTGCCCGGCGCTCCTGGTGGGAAGGGGAGGAGAGCGGAGGTGGTGGAGGTACGTGGTGGGAATTGCTTGTGACAAGTTGGATTTGAGTATGTTTTCTGAGAAGTAAAAAAAAACATAGAGAGCGGAGGTGGTGGAGGTACGTGGTGGGAATTGCTTGTGACAAGTTCGATTTGAGGACAGAGAGGAATGCGTCACTGGCTCACCTTTGAGGCGCCTCAACAGCGGCTCACCTTCCTGGCCTTGGACACTGCAGCAACAAGCCCTTTCTCTTCACGTTTGCAGCACTCCTCAGCACAACGGTCTTGAGAGAGGCAAGAGAGAGGAGAAGGGCGAGGAGAGGAGGAGCGGAGGAAAGAGAGGGTGTGGGTGCGTGAACCAACTCACCTTTTTGGCCTTGGACAGTGCAACAGGCGCCTTTCTCTTCACCTCCGCTGCACTCCGCGGCACAATCGGCAATCCCACGGTCTTGCGAGCAGCGAGGGAGAGGAGGAGGGCGAGGGTGGGCGTGTCGGCTTCGGGAGGAGGAGGCGATGAGGGGAACGAGGGGGTGGAGGAGGAGGGAGGAGTGGGGGAGAGCGGCTGGGAGGAGGGGGAGAGGGGCGTGGCTTGGGTGTCTGACTGCAGTAGCAACTTCCCAATTGACTTCAAGTCCTGATGGGAGGGATGGAAGGGAATGAAAGAGCATTCGCATGCAGTAGCATTCACATGCAGCGAGCCAATCACATAGCGACACGCCTGCAGCATTCACATGCAGCGAGCCACACAGTCACCATGAGAGGGCTCACCATGAGAGTGAGGGCTCACCATGAGAGTGAGGGTTCACCATGAGAGTGAGGGCTCACCATGAGAGTGAGGGCTCACCATGAGAGTGAGGGCTCACCATGAGAGTGAGGGCTCACGATGAGAGTGAGGGCTCACGATGAGAGTGAGGGCTCACGATGAGAGTGAGGGCTCACCATGAGAGTGAGGGCTCACCATGAGAGTGAGGGCTCACCATGAGAGTGAGGGCTCACCATGAGAGTGAGGGCTCACCATGAGAGTGAGGGCTCACCATGAGAGTGAGGGCTCACCATGAAGAGTGAGGGCTCACCATGAGGGCCGGTACTCGCTCCCACAGCGCATCCACCACGTACCCAGCCTGCACCGCATCCCCACACGTCTGCAGCATTCGCACCACCACCACCACCTGCCTCCCTGCACCCTCCTCCGCCTCCCCACCCTTCCCTCCCCTCTCATCCACCCTCTTGCCTCCCCCCTTGCCTTTCCTCGGGCCTGCTTCGGATGCAGCGGCTTCAGCAGCAGCAGGAGAGGCAGGGCTGGGGGAGGAGGCGAGGAGGAGGAGGAAGAGGACGTTGCAGGCGGCGAGTCTGAGCGGCAGGCAGTCGTCCGTGAGGCGATCAGAGAGGAGAGCGACGGCACGGTTGTGTGGGAGGGTGTCGTTGCTGGGAGGGAACACAGCAGGGGAGAAAGAGTAAGGAGAAGGGGGGGGGGGGAAGGGAAGAATGGGGAGATGAGGACAGGAGTGGAGTCTGAGCGGCAGGCAGTCGTCCGTGAGGAGATCAGAGAGGAGAGACATGGCACGGTTGTGTGGGAGGGTGTCGTTGCTGGGAGGGAGCAGCAGGGAAGAAAGAAGGTAGGGGAGGGTGAGCGAGGAGATGAGGGCAGGCGGCGAGTCTGAGCGGCAGTGTTGATGTTGCTTTTTGCTTTTGAGGATTCTCAGAAGCAACATCAGTCGTTTGCGGGGCAGTGAGAAACAGAGAGCGATCGGCTGGCCTGGTGGGCGCAAGAATGGAAGCATGCTGATATGTAATGGACTACAATCAGGTACTGCAATCATGTAAGCATGTAAGCATCCACAGCAGCTTACCTGGCGAGCAGCTGGACCAACGAGACAGCAGCCACTGCCACGTCAGCATCCACGTCATCCACCATCTGCTGCACACGTGGCACGAAGCGCTCCGAAAAGACGCCGAGCGCCGGCAGATTGTCCTCGCTGGCGTAGAGCGACTGGAGCGCTGACAGGGCCGTGAGGCGGACGGATGCCACCTGGCAGAGGGAGATTGGAATAGAAAATCAAGCGGACATCAACGAGAAATGACGCACTACGACAACTTAAGGGTTTACGTGAAGGGTTTTGAGTTAACTGATGACAACTTACAGAGCTCTCATCCTGCAGAGCTCTCACCTTGTCGTTGAGCGAGAAGCGGAGGTACTTGAGGTAGACATCACCCAGGAAGAGCGAGGGGTGTGAGCATGCGAGCACCCTACTGCCGCACCGCACGTACCTTACCAGCTTTGCACAGCACCCACCGCCCACCTTGTCATTCAGCGAGAAGCACAGGTACTTGAGGTAGACATCATGGAGGAAGAGGAAGGGCTGTGAGCAGGCCTTGTGATAATCTATTGTACACCGCAATGCCCACTGTCCACCTTGCCCACTGCCCACCTTGCTTAGGTGCCCACCTTGTCATTGAGCGAGAAGCCGAGGTACTTGAGGAAGACATCATCGAGGAAGAGCGACGGGTAGCGCGTCACCCACTGGCCCAGCGCCGCCACACACGCTGCTCTGATGGCCGGATCGATGTCCCGATGGCGATGCGTGATGATGCTGGCGGGGGGATTGTGAGGGGGTGTAATACAGGATGCCAGTAAGGGGGGGTGCAAAAGGGGGAGGTGGGTGGGAGGAGTGATGGGAGTCGTGCCTGACACCCACTGCCCCACTGCCCCAGCGCCGCCACACATGCTGCTCTGATGGCCGGATCCACGTCGCGATATCGATGCGTTATGATGCTGCACTGCAAGAGGGGGTTGGGTTACAGAAGGATTTTGAGAATCTATTGGAGTCCGCGTGACGATGGCTAAGATGGGGGTTACGGAAGGTAGGCAGAAGAGCAGAAGGTGAATCAGCACCATTCCAGTGCTGGCATACACCACTCTGCACCATTTGTCACCCACCACTCATCACTCCTCACGCACCCTGTGAACCCTCGCCGCATGACCCCTTCAAGCATCGCCACCTGCCCATGAATCGCATCAACCTTCGCCTGCAGCTCTACTCTTACCCGCCTGCTCGCCGCTCCCTCCAATTCCAATGTGCCTTTGAGTGGACTCTCACCCCTGTCACCAGTCTGCACCACGCATCACCCATTACTCACCCAGTGAACCCTCGCCGCATGACCCCTTCCAGCATGGCCACCTGCCCATGAATCGCATCCACCTTCGCTTGCAGCTCCACCGCTGCCCGCCTGCTCGCCCCTCCGCTTCCACCTCCCCCACCTGCCCCCTCAGACCCATCCCCCAGTCCTGCCGCTTCCCCGGCGTCCCCATCCCCTCGTCCTTCCCCACCTCCCCCAGTAGACCCCTTCCTCTTGCTCCTCCTCACTCCTGTTCCTCGGCTTTCCGCCCCTGCTCTTGTCGCCTGCTGCTCCTGCTCTTCCGACCGTCGGATCGCGGCCTGCAGCTGCCTCTGAGCCGTGGATTGCGATTCGGAGAGCACGGAAGCGACGGTGATGATGGAGGAGATGAGCTGCAGTGCCACGAGTGTTGCCACGTGGCGGAATATGCGGGGGGAGGAGCTGGGGGGAATAAGGGGAAGAGAGGGGGACGCGGACGCAATATGAGGAGAGGAGGGACGAGGAGAGCACGGAAGCGATGATGGACGAAATGAGCTGCAGCACCACGAGTGTTGCCACGTGGCGGAATATGCGAGGGGAGGAGCTGATGGGGAGGGGAGGCAGAGGGGGGGGAAAGGGGGAAGGGAGGGGAGGGAGTAGGTCTGGAGTTCGGGGAAAGTGAATCAAGCATGTTCTGTCAGACGGCAAAGGTGAGAATGAGGAACTGGAGACAAGGAGGAGAGGTAGAGACACACAATGGGCGGCGGGCTGACGTTATACACACGAAGACGGAAACGAAGAGCAGAGCAGCAAAAACCAGGGATGCGCAGAAAGAGGCAGAGGGAGGAGATGCACAAGCAGAAAGCAACGGGGGAGGGAACGTACGAGGAGAGGGCAACGAGGTAGTCAAGAAGCGTGGGCAGGAGCTGGGAGTCAAAGAGAGAACCTTCCCGCCCCCCCGCCACCACCAGCGCATCCCAGAACAGCAGCAATGACGTGCGGAACGATGCCCCATCGCCACCCTTGCCACTGCCACCCTTGCTGCCCTTGCCGTCGTTGGCAGTGGAGTGGTGGTGGCTGTGGTGCGGTGGAGTGCGGTGCAGATGGTCGAGCAGGGCGACCTGGCGGGCGGAGTCGACGAGGGTTTGCACGACGTCGTCCACACCGACTCCCTCTGACATGATGGCATCGTCTCCCATCACCACCTGCACCCCACACGCCTGGTTGGTCGGGGATGCGGACAGGACGCAACACATTGGAAAGTATTGAGTTGGTTCAAAAGCCCTCAAGGGTTTGCACGACGTCATCCACACCAACCCCCTCTGACATGATGGCATCGTCTCCCATCACCACTCCACACGCCTGGTAGGGATGCGGCGGGTAGGGCAGCAGCACACAGACATGCGCGTACGTGCATGCACACACACACACACACACACACACACACACACACACACACACACACACACACACACACACACACACACACACACACACACACACAAGTTTTGAGTCGACTCAAAAGCCCAAGAGGGTTTGCACGACGTCATCCACCCTGCTCCCTCAGAGAGGATCGCATCGTCACCCATCACCACCTGCACCCCACACGCCTGCCATGGGTGCGAGTAAAATGGCACACAAGTTGGCTTTTGAGTCGACTCAAAGGTCAACTCGGTTTGCACGACATCATCCACCCCCCGCACTCCCTCTGAGAGAGGATCGCATCGTCACCCATTACCACCTGCACCCCACATGCCTGTCAGGGATGTGGCTGCGGCGACACAAACATACACATGTGATGATGGCTACCAAGCACATGTTGCACATGAGGCGCCTCACAATCAAAATCGGCACATGGCTGCTTGCCTCACGAAAGTGCCAAGTCGATTACCTGGAAGAGCAGCTTGAGCAGCTGGGCCGTGGTATGAGTGCGGTTGAACTCATACCCCTCCATCCAGATAAACAGAGCGACATGCAATTCACAATAAAGGAGAGTGCTACAAGGGTTACCTGGAAGAGCAGCTTGAGCAGCTGGGCTGTGGCATGAGTGCGGTTGAACTCATACCCCTCCATCCACCGGAACGCTGCTTCCTCCACGTCCTCTGCACTGCCCGCCTGGACTATGTCTGTGGGGGAGGGTGAAGACAACAGGGCACCGGACCAGAGCGATGCATTTTCAAAAACTGGAGAAGGTGGATGAAAATTTAGTCAACAAGGTGGAATCGGAAACAGTCAAGTACAGAGCCGGTACTCATAGACCCAAAACACAGGGATCACCCCACCACACAGAGTATCTTTCATAGCCCCTAAAAGGGCATCGTTCTCCTCTCTACAATATGTGTATTTCCCATTCCAACAACCCACCAAAAAGGCTTCGTTCAGAAGCAGTGAGCCGACCATCACCCCTTGGCACCTCCGCCCCTGCCTGCTGCCTCTGCTTGCCTGCTCCCTTCCGCTGCCCCTCCTCCCGCCCTGCCCCCACACCCTCCTCTTCTCCTTCCACCCCATGCTCCCCACCATCCGCCTGCGCCTCTCTCTCCCCCTCCAACTCCTTCCCTTTCCTTCGCTTCTCCGCTTTCCTTCCCTTGGGTGCTGCAACGGTGGGTCTACCCTCTACAATGAAAGCCCCAGCAGCAGCGGCAGCAGCAGCAGCGGTGGACCGAGCCTGGCCGCGAGGCTTGGCAAGAGCCTTGAGCGCTGCCTTGGGAGGTTTGGGAGCAGGTTTGGGACGAGGTGCGGCGACAGATTGCTGCTTATGCTTGACTTCCCCCCCCTCTGCACGAGGCCTCTTGCCCTTTTGTGAGCTGGGTACATACTCCTCTTCTTCCTCCTCACTCTCCTCCTCCTCCTCACTCTCCTTCTCTGAGCCATTTTCTCTCACACTCTCGTCCTCCTCCTCTTCTCCACCTTCTCCCTCCTCTCCCTCCACTTCAGCTCGCCTCTCCCCTCTTTCCTTATCCCTTTCCTCCACCCGTTCCTCCTCGTCGTCCTCTCCTCCCTCCAATTCACCCTCGCCCACCTCCCCTTCTTCCACCTCCATTTCTTCTCCAGCCTCCTCCTCTTCCGCACCCTCCTCCTCCTCTTCTTCCTTCTTCCCTCCCTTTCCCCTTCCTCTCCTCCCATCCCCCTTCCCTCTCGCCACACTCGCTCTTCTCTCACGCTCCTTTCTGCCCTTCTCCCTCTCCACCACTTCACCCTTCGCACCCTTCCCTCTCAAAAAACTCGCCCTTCGCTCACTCACCTTCGCGCCTCCCTTCGCGCCTCCCTTCATACCTCCCTTCATACCTCCCTTCGCACCTCTCCTCACCCTCTCAGCCATACCCCCATCCTCACTTTTACGAGCCCTTGTGCTCCTGCGCTCCACCACAGCCCCGCCCTTCTTCGCCTTAACCCCCTTTCCTGTTGCTCTCCCCACCTCCTCTACTTCACCCTCCTCCTGCTCCTCCCCCTGCTCCCCCTCCTGCTCCCCCTCCTGCTCCCCCTCCTGCTCCCCCTCTTGCTCCCCCTGCTGCTCCTCCTCCTCCACTGCCGCAACTCTGTCACCACCTGCAGTTTCCTCTGCTTCTCTCACATCAGCCGTCTCTTCATCTGCTGCTCCTGTCACTGCTCTTCCTGCCCTTGCCGCTTCAACCTTTCCTTTTTGTTTCCCCTTCCCCGCCTTTTCCACCTTCCTTTCCTTCTTTCCCTTGTTCATCTTCCCTGCCTCTCCTGTCCCTCCTCCAACCTTACCCTTCTCCCCCTCCTCCCCCGCCTTCTCCCCCTTCTCCCCTTTCTCCCCCTTCTCCTCTTTCTCCCCCTTCTTCCCCTCCCCTCTCCCCGCTCTGCCTTTGCCCCCAGAAGTGGCAGCCAGCGCAGCAGCAGCCCGTTGCGCAGCTGCCCGCCTCTCCCTCCCTCCAGGAGGGGTCGAGAGCACTTCTAACCCAGGAGGCGTCGAGAGCACCCCCTCAACTGGAGGAGTCAGCAGCACATCTCCGCTTGCTTCTGGCACCACTCCTGCTGTCGCTCTGCTTCCCACGAGTGCTGCACCCGTAGCTGCAGCTCCTGTTTCCACTGCTGCTGCACCTACCCTCGCCGCCACATCCTCTCCTGTGTTTCGACTCTCCACCCCTCTGCCGCTCTCCTTCCCTCGTCCCTTCTTCCCCCCTCTCCTACCATAACTCAAAGTACCACCTGTCTTGGCCGTTTTCCCTGCCACCGCACCACCGCCTGCTTCTGCCTCACCATCGCCCGGGCCAATCCTCTCCGTCCCTAACGATGCTCCCTGGGGCCCGAGTCCTGCTCTTTCCTCTGCATCTCCCTCTGCTCCTCCCTCTGCCTCTCCTCCCGCTGGTCCCTCCGCTCGTCCCTCCGCGCGTCCCTCTGCCACTCCGTCCGGCCGTTCTCTCTCCTCATGTTCCTCTTGCTCCGTGTCCCCTGCCTCCGCCTCCGCCCCAGCACCCGCGTGCATGCCCTCTCCCTCCATTTCCGTCATCGCTCCTCCCGCATCCTTCTTATCTGCAATCAGCGACTCTCCTGCATCTCCTGCCGCTCCTGCCTCTCCCGCTTCTCCTGCCGCTCCTGCCGCTCCTGTGGCTTCTGCCTCTCCTGTCGCTCCCGCCTCCAGCCCAACCTCTGCAACGTCAACCGCTGGCCGTGCCACGTCAGCCACATTTACCTCCCTGAAGGTATGAAGGAGGGAAAGCGGATGACAAGCAAAGGTTGCAGCGAATTGAGTCAAAGTAAAAAACACTTCGTTTCAAGTAGGACACCACAGCAACGCAACAGCAAGCCCCACGAGCCAGCAGCAGGATGGTCAGAAAGGCCAGAAACCATGAGTTCGAACGAGCATGTGACTTGCCAAGAGTCTCACCCTGCCTTTCTCCTCTTCTTGGCGCTCTGCCCACTCGCACCCGCCTCTCTCCTTTTCTCCACCTCTGCTTCCTTCTCCGTCTCCTCCTCTCGCTGCTCCTCCTCCTCCACCTCTTCCTCCTCCCTTTCCTTCTTCCGCTTCCCTCGGGCCTTCGCACCCTTCTGCTTCTTTCCTCCCTTCGTCCTTCCCTTCGTCCCTCCCTTGTTCTCCTCCTCTCGTTCCCCCTGCTCCACTTTTGGCGTTTCCTTTCCCTCTCCTTTCGCCTGCCGCACGGATTGCTGCTGCGGCTGCTGCTGCTGCTGCGGCGGTGGCGGCGGCTGCTCTTTCTGCTGCTGCTGTTGCGGTTGCTGCTGTTGCTGTTCCTTCCTCTCTCCACGCTCCTGCCTCTCCCCCCGCTCCTGCCTCTCTGCCCGCGGCTGCCTTGCGCCCTGCTGGCGTTGCGCCAGCAGCGCCAGCCGCGCCTCCTGCGCCAGGCACGCATCGAGCGCCCCCTTGTAGTCGGGGAGGCAGCTGCTGCGCCGGCTGCGCGCGATCGCCTTCTCCCGCGCCTCGCCCTCGAACCTGTCTAGTTCGTCCGGCCCGCAGAACCGACTGGCACAGGGGGAGGAGGGGAGCAGAGGGAAGAGGGGAGAGGGGGGGAGGGGAAGCGAAGAGAAAGGGGATGAGGAGGGGAAATTTCCGGTATCAGTACGTTGCGTGCTCCTTCGCCGCGTATCTGCAAATTTGTCCAGCTTGAGTGGCATTGCAAAAACGGCTGACATGCGGGGAAGGAAGGTTGGACGAGTCAACCCGGTCATTTGAGCACTGAAGCGGGGTCGGAATAAACAACGCGAACGGATGATAATCGACAAACGGATTCTTGTTCGCACAGAATGCTACCAACGCTATGAATAGACGACGGCCACCCGGGCACTTACGCTTCTCGTGGTCGAGAACATATGATCAGTCGCAACTAAGAAACTAACACTTGTGGGAATCAAGAGACTCACATCTGTCGCGGTTGCAGGAACAGGACGAATATCTTTCCTTCCTGCGGTTCTTTCTTGAACTTGTACGGATCCATGACCTGCTCCGAAGCAACCCAAGGAGACACGGCAATCATTGAAAGGTCGATGCATTCAGCATAGGGACAAGAAAGGTAACAGAATCTCGAGCACGTCGAACGAACAAATATGTGCATAATAATTGAAGGTTAAATACCGAAAAATGGTGAAAAGGCTGCATGTTGAGGAGAACTACCTGAGCCGGCCATGGCGGATAACCCTGAACCTTAGCGAGGACCAGCGAGCCCACCGGCCACGAGTCGGCTCCCGCGTCCATGACTATCGCTGCTGCTCGGACCTAGATAATCAAATGCCAGGCTACAACCAGGCCTTGAGACGTGTCTTCAGACGTCTCGGAACTCGACTCTTTAGCTCGGACTTGAGTACCAGGTTCCAGATCGGAGCTATTTAGTCTATTGCCAGGTTACAAGCGGTTACGAGCGGTTAGGTACCTGGTGGGTTGTGTTACTAGAAAAAAAATACTACAGGTAAGGAGGAAAATTAGTGCGTAACCGTGGAAACGCGTGAAGAACGGGAATAGAATATGACATGAAACGGACAGCGCGGGAAGTATCGCAATTCTTCGGACACAAGGACACTCTCAACGCGAAAAGAGCCTCGTGGGCTCCCCCACCAGCAGCCATACAAGCAACCTGCTGGAATGAAAGGCTTTTATCGGTGTGAGTGGTGCGGGGATGACTGGAAACAATTGAAGAGAGCGTTGCTTCAAAACACGTAGTGGGAGGCAAGGCAAACAACGGAGTCGTGCAGGTGAAGAATGCTGCAGAAGAGGGAGGTGCCTAAATTTGGCGGGAAGCCATTTTCGAAACATTGAAATTGCCACGAGCCTTTTACGAGCATTTTAGGTGTAGCGAATTACACGCAGTGATGCTTAATCGTTCCAAACACTCAAATTAACAGTTAGTAATCAGACATGCATTTCACATGCTTCAAAATGTGCTCACTTCCTAAAGGCTGGCCGAAGAATAGCAGGCTTTACTCTAATGAGCAGCACTTCAAAATAATGCTGAGCCTTTTTACTATCCACAAGCTCAGCAACTCTACTGTCCCACCACAAAATCATTGCTCTAAGGTCTACGCCAGAACCGTGTGCATTCTGGCAAACCTTTCTTCCCTAACCCCTGTCAGTGAACACAGCCACCCTAGAATCCCCATCAGCATTCCCTATCGGTCCACACCTCCACTTCCCCCACCTGTCGACATAGCACCCGCCCCAGAACCATTTTCAGCAGGCAGGGGTGGGCCCCACTTGCCATCAGGATCAGAAGGCTCTAGCACATGCACTGAACCGTCACTCAGACCCAAAGCGAACTGGTTAGGATCTTGCGGGTGAGCTGCGACCACCATTGGCACCACAAGACCCGGTCTGCAACCACGGAAAAGTGATGAGCGCATCGAACACAAGGGATTGACGATGGGTCAGGGAAAGGAAGAAGAGAAGCTTCAGACAGCCCTGCGTTGAGACAACTGAAGGCAAGGAGAGTGAGGTAGGAGCAGAATGCAAGAAGGAACATGTAAGGGGCATGGATACTCCGCGAAGGGAAAGGGAGCACGTGGCAAGAAAACAACGTGCATAAGCATTGCGAGAAGGTAAGGGAGAAGAGTGAGCGCGACGTGCGTACCCGACAGACGGCGCATACGCCGAAGGAGCAACACGGCACCGCGGCCGAAGACTATCCCCGTCAAACACACACACAGTCGCATCCGCGAATGCAGCAAGCACGAGCGAGGAGTCACACGAATACGCAGCGGCAGTGATGGGCGCGGAGAGCGGGCCGAGGTCGCGGGGCAGCCACTGGCGCAGGCGGTCGAGCTTGGCGGCGTCGTAGATGGCGAGCTGCGACTCGTGCACCACCAGCAGGCGCTGCTGGTCGTTGTGGAACTGCACCCGCGTGTCCGCCTGCTGCGTCGGCGACGAGCGCGACGGGAGAGCCAGCGGGCGCGATTTCCGCCTTTCCCACCCGTCTGTGCTCCAGAGGAACAGCTGGGGAAGGGGAAGAGGGGGGAAGAAGAGGAGGGAGCCCAGGGGAAAAAGGGTAGAGGGGGGAGAAGAGAAGGAAAGTGGGATGGCAGGAGATAAGAGCAGGTGCTGATTGAAGAGTGTGTGGGGGAAAGATAAAAGGGTAAGAAAAGGGGACCAGGTATGAGGTCACTAGGGATCAGTTCATAAGCACCATGGCACGAATAGGAATAGGAACCAGTGGTAGCGAAGCGAGGAGGGGAGCTCAATAAGTTAACCCTCCTCCTCCCCTCACCTGTAAATCACACTCTCCTCTCCTCACCTGCGAGTCAGCCCCAGAGGACACGAGGCTGTTGAGGGCGTTGGAGAAGGCAAGCCCTGTGATGCGCTTGCTGTGCCCCTTCAGCTTGCTCTTCACCTGTTACCATGAGATGGGGGGAGAGGGGGAAGAGGAGGGAGGCCCATAGGGGGGGGGGAAGGTATGGCACTTCAGAAAGACGCCCTGTGATGCGCTTGCTGTGCCCCTTCAGCTTGCTCTTCACCTGTTACCATGAATGACGGGGGTTGAGGGGGGAGTGGAGTGGATGGAAAGGGAGGAAGTGGGGCGGGTGCAGGGGCCAGAAGGGGAGGAAAAATGTGAGTCTAATGCACATTGTTCGGACGGCGATGGCCCAGGTGGAGGGAACGTCAGCTGCTGGAACAGTACCACACCTTTACCCACTACAGCCCTAGAGCAATCCCATGGCTACATCATGGTGCTTTCCATCAAACAGGAGAGGGAAGAAAAAAAATGCAAGTTGAAGAAGTTTTGAAGAAAACCAGCAGCGCTCATGCCCGTGCCTTGCTTGACCTGCCGGTGGAGTGGAACGCTGCTACTGGGAGAGGTGGCTGCTGCGGAACTGGTAATATCGCTTTCATGACCCCATCAAGGGCCAAGGAAGTGCTCACCTCGTCGAGGCGCACATTGTAGATCTGGATGGTTGCATCGTCCATGCCGATGGCGATGATGTTGTTGTCCTGCGGGTGGAACACTCCTGCCTCAGGGAAGTGGCTACCGCAGAGGAAGTGCTTTCCCACCCGGGCCCCTGCCCTGCTACAGCACCACCACTCGCCCAATTAGAGTCCTCACCTCGTCAAGCCGGACGTTGTAGATCTGGATGGTGGCATCGTCCATGCCGATGGCGATTATGTTGTTGTCCTGTGGGTGGAACGCCAGGAAGGTGGCTGCTGGGGGCGGCGCCATGAACGTCGTCATCACCTGGTCAACACAATATAAGAGAGGTCAACGCAGGACAACGAGGGGCAATGGGGAGTGATATGCATGCCACAGGGTGCGCCCTCACACACACGCGCGCGCGCGCACGTAGGAGTCGCTGTTGGCCAGCGCAATGCACGCCATCAAATGGGCTCCCTCACTCCCTCACACACACCCGCACACACCTTGAAGGTGAGCATGTTGAAGAGCGAGACCTTGCCCCCCGAGGCGGACATAACATACGAGTCGTTCTTGGACAGCGCTATGCACGCCACCGGGTGCGCTCCCTCCCGGTCATCCGAGCTCACATCGCCCATGTCGTTCGTCATCATGATGCCGCTCGCCGGCTGCCACAGCTGCGGGACAGAGCTCGCAGTGGCCTGCACGTGTGATGGGTACGAAAGGGAGGACCGTTACAGGTACTCAAAGTTACAGAAGCATCGAACAACTAACACTTCCGCCTCTTGAAAAGTGTCTCGTCGGACGGTGCCTACGGCATTATATCGAATTAAAAGAATTACAATGATATAGAAAAATTCTCTAAATGCATATGCTTGTGTTCCCATAGTACTGACCGGTCCTTTGGTGTTGCAGCCGGAGCACTGCCACTTCCACAGCTCGTGCACAGCATTGGCAGAAAGCACTTACTACAGTAAACCCAATACATTCAGCTATAAAGGTATGATATCTGCATATCACGATGTAAATATATGTATAATTTGTGTAACACTCACCAGTCCTTTGGTGTTGCGGTCGGAGCGCTGCCACTTCCACAGCTTGTGCACGGCATTGGCAGAGAGCGCCAGCAGTGCCACACCTGAATTGGTGTAGATCAAACGCAGCACCTTGCTGGGCGGCAGACTGTCCGGCAGGCGGGCGGCCCGGACCTGCGAGGTTCGGAGTGACGGAGGGAAAAGACAGGTTGGGATGGCGGAGGGAAGGGAGGGAAGCACCGGCACAAGAGGGAAATGCAGGCAAGTAGTGGTTAAGGGCATGGAGAGAGACAGAGAGAGCAGTGAAAGCAGATCGTGATGAGGGGCAGGAGAGGGGACTCACAGGCCAAATGTGAAGACAAAAGCAAGGTTGGAGACAGGAGAGGGGAGGTGGAGAAGGTGGAGTGGGACAGACGGGGAGAAGGTTAGAGGGAGAAGGGAGAGGGGGAGCGGGAGAGAGAGGGGGAGCCGGAGAGAGAGGCTACCTGTGAGGGCTCCGAGAACTCAGTAAGCTTCCATCCCTTCTTGTCTGGCCCGTCCTCCTGCAGCCTCTGATGTGAGCAGAGCAGGGGCGTGGAGGGGGGGTTGGCGGAGAGGGGGGGTTGGGGGAGAGGGAGGATGGGGGAGGAGAAGGGGGATTTTTTTTTAAAGCAACTACAGATAAATCTTCCCGCAGCCTCTGCTGTGAGCAGAGCAGGGGCGTGGAGGGAGGGTTGGGGGAGGGAAAGGGTTCGGGAATGGGAACGGGGCCCCAATAAGTGGGGAAGGGAACTGAGGGAAAAGAGGGCAGCAGGACGGGTGGAGAGGTGGAAGGAGAGAGAGGGGATGCACTGGAGGGGTGACGTGAGAAGGTGAGAAGAAAGAATGCTTGAAGGACAAGAGTCTGTGAACGTCTGAGCTGAAGCACGCCCTAAGCCACACACAAGAGACCAGCAATGCACTAGGAGAAAAGTCGTGTAAGAACCGCACCGAAGCAGTAAGAGCAGAAGCAGGGGACGAGCGATCCAACTGCTGTTGCTGCTGCTGCTGCTGCTGCTGCTGCTGCTGTTGTTGTTGTTGCTGCTGCTGCTGTTGCTGCTGCTGCTGCTGTTGTTGCTGCTGTTGTTGCTGCTGCTGTTGCTGTTGCTGTTGCTGCTGCTGTTGCTGCTGCAGCTGCTGCTGCTGTTGTTGAAGCTGCTGCTGCTGTTGCTGAGATGGCGCCTGGGAAGGGGGAGGTTGCTGAGACGCCTGAGCAGCAGCGGCGGCGGCAGCGGCGGCGGCTGCAGCTGCTGCTGCCTGCACTGCCTGCTGCTGCTGCTGCTGTGATGGAGGCTGGGGCAGGGCGGGTGGTGGCGGCTGTAGCGCACAAATGGAGGGGGGGAGGAGAGCAAACATGAGACAGAGAGACGCATCAATTAACGCAAAGGGCCAATCAGGGAAGCAGAGGAATGCACGAAGCAGGAGGGCTGGGGAGCGGGATCTCACATATCCACAAATCTAAGCAGGACTGACTAGCCCACCAATGCACCCACCTTGGTGTCCACAGGTCTCTGGGCAGCTGCTGCAGCCGACTTTTGGGACGTCTCACAAGTCGTCTCTTTTGGGACGTCTCAAAAGTCGTCTATTTTGAGACGTCTCAAAAGTCGTCTATTTTGAGACGTCTCAAAAGTCGTCTATTTTGAGACATCTCAAAAGTCAAGCAAGACTGACTAGCCCACAGACGACCCACCTTGGTGTCCACAGGCCTCTGGGCGGCTGCAGCAGCTGCGGCGGCAGCAGCAGCGGCTGCAGCGGTGGCAGCAGCGGCTTCGAGGTTGCGCAGGAGGCGCAGGCCCATGTCGTTGGCAAGGATCTTCACCGAGTTGTCCGCTGCCGTCACCGCCAAGAGAGAACCCTCCCTGTTGAACCTCACTCTCGGACTCGCCTGGTGGGGAGGAGGGAGGGGGAGGAAGTATGAAGAGAGGCGTGTCAGGGACTGCTGCTATGCCATCAGTAGAATCGCATTTGAACCACAACCATGGAATCGCCTGGCTGTGAAGCGGCCGGCGTCGGCAATGAGCGTGTGAAGCAGGGTGCAGAACCTGATGGGCTACTCGTTCCCAGCACGTAAACCTATCCTAAACCCTGGGCAAGCAGAGTGGCTTCGAGATGGAGGAGAAGCGCTCACTGGCAGGCCACCATCGGCATCTAGTGTGCAGAGCATGGCAGTGTTGTCCATGTCCCAGAACTTGATCAGATACTCGTCGCCAGAGAGGCAGACACAGGGAGGCAGACTCACAAAGAAAGGAGCATCACTCACAAGAGAGGCACACTCACTGGTGGAGTGGAAGCGCGCAGCACTCACTGGCAGGCCACCATCGGCATCTAGTGTGCAGAGCACGGCAGTGTTGTCCATGTCCCAGAACTTGATCAGGTACTCGTCGCCAGAGAGGCAGACACAGGGAGGCAGACTCACAAAGAAAGGAGCATCACTCACAAGAGAGGCCCACTCACTGGTGGAGTGGAAGCGCGCAGCACTCACTGGCAGGCCACCGTCAGCATCGAGTGTGCAGAGCAACGGCAGTGTTGGTCCATGTCCCAGAACTTGATCAGGTACTCGTCACCGGCGACAAGGAAGCGGTTTGCGCGTGGTGTCAAACTGCACGACGCCCAGCGAGCGCTTGCGGAAACCCAGGTAGCTGCGCTTGATGGCACCCTCGCTCTCGTTCCACTCCACCAGTGACGTCTCGCCCTCCTTGCTCGTGCCACAGGAGAAGAGGCTGCGGAGGAGGCCGGGGGAGAGGGAGGGGGGTGGGTGGGTGGTGGGGAAGGTGAGGTGCAGCAACAGGTGGTGCACCACTCACTGTGTGCCAACAGCAGAAAGGGTCCCATTTTGATGCCATGGTCCAAGCCTGGTGACAGCTTCTTGTACATGCATGCAAGCCAAAAAACTGGTGGCTCGAATTGGAGGCACTGGTGACTCACCGCGTGCCATCAGCTGGGTACCCCATGGGGCATCATACTCCACTCTCTACGCCTGGTGACAGCTTGTTGCTCATGTATGGAAGGCGACATCTGAGAGTAAGCCAATGAATATGTGGCTCAAGTCTATTTGTGACTCACCGCGTGCCATCAGCCGAGTACCCCATGGTGCTGCACCACTTGCCCGGGGCATCATAGTCCACTCTCGACCCCAGGTGGTCGTACAGCCACGCCTTGATCTTGCCGTCTATGGCCGTCGAGAATATGAACTACAGGGGAAGGAGCGGTAAGGGAAGGGGTGGGGCGGAAGATGGAGAAGGGGGAGGGGAGAGGGAAGAAGGAAGATATAGCAAGAATGGAACAGAATCGGCATAACTGAAAAGGAAAAACAATGGTATTGGTGGCTGGACGTGGGAATATTCTCCGTACCTGAATGTTCTCCTTGTGGTGCGGGCACACGGAGTAGACGGGAGCCTCATGTCCCTCGAATGTGTACAGCTTGCGCCCACTGCTCGCCTCCCACACCTGGCGGTGTGCAGCATGGTGGATACGGGGAGGGAATGGGGCATGAGGCATGCGACATGCAACATGGGGCAACGGGGTATGGGGCATATGGCATGGGGAATGGGGCATGGGGCCATGTGGTCTGGGTGGGTCGATTGACATGGGACGGATGCATGCATATGCATCCCCACGCATATGCGCAAGCACATGCACATACGCGCACATCCATGTGCACACGCACATGCACGGGTTAACTCACCTTGATGGTCTTATCATCGCCGCATGTGATGATGCAGAGCTGCTTGTTGGGGTGGAGAGAAGGCCAGGTCGTTCACTCCACCCACATGCGCGTCGATCTGCACACGCCGACAGGCAAGACCACACAGCAACAACACATCTGCTAGTGACAACCGTGTCGAGGTGACCTCGGGATTTGAAGCGAGCATGCATGGTGAGCATGGGCAAGCAGGATAATCATCAGCATGCAGCGAAAGCATCAACCCCGACCTTCCTACATGTGTCACTGAGCTCAACAACCTCACGCACCTTGAGGTGCAGATAATCCGGTTCTGGTATGTGTAGATGTGCACCATGTGCTTTGAAAAGTTATCTATTCACTCAAACGGTCCTTAACATTGCTTAAAGTGTCACTATGGCACGCGAACATACGCACCTCGAGGTGCTGTCCCATGCTGCTTGGGTTCTGGTATGTGTAGATGTGCACCATGTGCTTTGAGAACGCCGCTCCTGCCATGCACCACCACCACGAGCAAGACAAGCAGCATACCACGCAAAGATGAGATGCCAACACTTGTAACGTCTCAGGCCAGAAGGGGCAAGGATAGAGTGAGGGAATCGCAAAGGTGCAAGGATAAAAAGAGAGGGAGGATTAGAGGGGCGAGAAACGGAAGCAAAGGGGGGGCGCAGAGGGGCGAGGACTCACCAAAGAGTTGCCCGTTAGGCTCCCAGATGACGCGATTCACAGCGATGGTCTGATCCTTCATCCATAGCGTCTGCAGGGCCGGGAAGAGGGAGGGAATGCAAAAGCTGTTCATTCATTGCCCCTTAACAACCTGAAGTGGAGGTCAATCAAGCTGTGGATGGAACCCTGGGATCTGCAGCAAGCACCTGACAGCTTTACGTCAGCACCTGGGAGTACTGAAGACACCTGAGAGTGTTTGCGCGCACCTGGAACTGCGGCGAGCACTGCTGGGGGTCCCAGAGCTTGAACGGGCGGTCCACCACCTTCTCTCGTGACCCCACCCTCCCATATCGCCACGTCCCCCCGTGTTGCTGCCCACTGCACAGACACACATGCAAGCACGAGTGCACACAGACATGCACACACATCCGCATACACACGCATGCACGCATGCGAGCACACACACACTCACAAACATGCAGAGAGATGCATACAGACATGCACGCACAACAACCATGCACACGCAACAAGCACAGGTGAACAGGGATGGTTGGGGCGGGCAGGATAGGGACAAGCAGGGACGCACAAGGACAGCAGCACATGGCAGCAGATGTCACTCACATGCGACGAACTGGCAAAGACGAAGGTTTAAAAGGTTAAAAAGTAGGAACACCAGGGAAGATGGTGGGGGTGACTGGGAAGCAGGAGGAGACGAAAGAAAACAGACATGGAAAAAACGTGGCAGGTGGGAAGGGGCTGGAGGGGAAAGTGTACCGAGCAGCAGTGTGGGCTGGTACGGGTGGAAGTCCATGGTCATCACACACGAGCCCTGGTTCAGGTTCCTCGCAATTGTCTTGGGCAGATCCTCCACTGCATACCCGCCTCCTGAACCAACCCCTGCTCCTAGCGCCACTGGCCCCTGTCCCCCTGCTGCTGCTGCTGCCGCTGCAGCAGCTGCTGCGGCAGCGGCGGCAGTTACGGCACTCCCTAGGCCTGCCCCTGCTACGTTGCCTCCTATTGCTGGTACTGGCGGGCCTGGGATTGCTCCTGGGACAGGTGGCGGCTGCTGATTGGGCGGGACTTGGCCGTAGACCTGGTGGGGAGTGGGTGGAGGTGGAAGGGGGTGGGGCATTGGATTAAGGAATGGAAATTAAGAAAAGGAAGGCTGCCCTGTGCTCTGTGCTCTGTGCTCTGTGCCCTGTGCCATGCCTGTTGAACACAATCAGAACACCTCACCCTCGTCCATGCCGCCCCTGGGCAATTTAAGCACCATGTAGGAGTCCCCTGTGCCTGGATACTCCACCGCCACCGGTTGTCTGGCGGCGCAGCGCCTGAGTTGACTCACAAGCAACCTCTCTCACACCCCTCAAAGAGCACCTCACCTAAATCCTGCACTTAAGAGCACCTCATCTCAATCACGCACTTAAGAGCACCTCACCTCTATCACGCACTTAAGAGCACCTCATCTCGCCCACACCCTCAAGAGCCTCTCACCTCGTCCATGCCGCCCCGGGGCCGCTTGAGCACCATATCGGAGTCCCCTGTGCCCGGATACTCCACTGCCACTGGGTTGCCTGGCGGCGTGCGCGGCCGCTTCAACATAGCTGCAGTGGGGCCGACAGCAGGCACGCAGCATGGGACGGAGGACGGTCAGACCAGCAGCTGGACGGAGGGAACGGTCCGACACGCAGCATGGACGGAGGGAACGATCCAGGCCACCGGGCGAAGGAAGGGACAGTATGAAACAGGATGCACAAGCACACAAAGGGGTCGCGTCGCGAGCTCCAGGGCATCAAGACAACAGGACTAACAGCCACGCACCTGGGGTTGGGGCCTGGGGGCAGGTTGGCAGGGGGGGGGCGGCACCACGGCGTGGGGGGGAGGCGCAGCTGCAGGCTGCTGTCCGCCCATCCACCCCGCCAGGGCGGAGGCGGATGGTCCCCCAGGCTGGAAGGGCTGCAGTGGCTGCTGGCAGGCGGGGGAACAACGGACGTGGTGAGGGGGCGGGGCGGGGAGACAAAGGTTGTGAGAGGAGGGGAAGGGAGTGACAAGAACATTGGATGTCTGTGAGCAGTGGGCACAAGTTTGCAGGGACGGGATGCCAGGCACCCCAACATTCACCATGCCACACACCACTGCACCCCCGGTACCACCACACCTGACCTCCAAACTCCTATTTGTGAGGCTGAACCTCCCCCGGGCTCCTATCCCTAGACTCACCGCATGCCCGCCCACGCCCACGCCCACGCCAACCGGTCCCAGGGGAAACGGATGGGCCTTAGGCGCTGCTGCTGCTGCTGCTGCTGCTGTTGCTGCTGCTGTTGCTGTTGCTGCTGCTGCTGTTGAACGGCGGAGAGAAGCGAGTTGGGCGGAGCAGGCTGCTGCGGCTGTGTGCGCCCGCCGTTGGGCGCGGGGCCACAGGTGTGGTCCCCAAAGAGGGTCTTGATGTCGGGGTTGGGGCGCGGGTTCTTGCACAGCTGGTGCTGCCAGTTGAGACTGGTGGGGATGGGGATGGAGATACAGGGCGGGGGGGGGGGGGGGAGGGTGGGGGGAGAGGAGGTAGAGAGAGAGGTTTCTTCGCACAGCGATGAGGAGGCAGAGGCTGTAGGTAACTTGATGAGGAAGCGCCGTCATTGTCTCGTCACCAAGGAGTCGATTCTCTGAACTAGCTACCATCAGCGACTTGAGCACATTATGGACTGAACGCATCAAGACAGAGAGGCAAGCAACCCCACCTCTGGTTGATGAGCGTGCGCAGGCGCGAGTTCTGAGGTTGGGGGGGACTGGCAGCTTGTGCCTTTCGGGTCTGCTTTCGAGTCGACTCAAAAGAATCGACTCTAAGGAATCGACTCAGAACGCAACGCACCTCTGTTGAATGAGCTGTGCGCAGGCGCGAGTTCTTGAGGTTGGGGAACTGCAGCTTTGTCGCGGAAGAGGCGGGTTGGCCTCGATGAGCTTCTTCAGCTCCAGCAGCATGATGTTGCGCGCCGACTTGGTGTCTCCGTACTTGCTCAGCTGCTCGTTCTCGCTGCACAATACGAGCAATGCAGAATATGGGACGAGTGGAGAAGGTGGGGGGGGTGGGGGGTGGGGGGGGAAAGGGGGTGGGAGGGGAGGGAGGGTAGGGGAGGGGGGGAGGGGGGGAAAGTGGGAATAGTTCAGCAGCATGATGTTGCGCACCGACTCGGGTCCCATACTCGATCAGCTGTTCGTTCTCGCTGCCAGCTACGAGCAATGCAGAAAGGGCTGTGCGGAACCGAAAGGAGAGACGAGGGGGGGGAAATCGACGTGGCGAACGAGGCGGGACGAGAAAGCGTTTGTCGCGAGCACTCATACGAATGGTGGAAAAAGGCGATGGTCGTTGAGTCAAGACTTGGCTGCACCATGGGCAGAGCAAGTACGCGAAGAACTGCTGGTGACCAGCGTTGAAATTGATTAAGG